GAGGAGTGTCCTGATGCTGGCCACAGTGGAATTTCCTCACTGATTCAGCATACGGTTATTAAGTGCCTGCTCTTACGGTGACCATGCTAGTTGTGGGGATTAATAAAAAGAACATAGCCCTTGCTCTCAGACAAGAAAGCGAGAGAAAATCAAGTGAGGAACGATAGTGGGGATGACAGAGATCAAGAATGTGGGAGAAGGCCAGCCCTGTGGCCTGGTGGTTAACGAGCTGGATCCCACATGGCCTGCAGTGTGGCTGAATTCCAACAGCCTGAAAAACATACCAGGCTTGTGCGTATGAATGCCCAGAATCCCAAGAGGATAAAGAAATGGAAGAGAATGGATTACTGCCTGATCACACATCATCAAAGGGTGCTTTCTCTCCCTATCTTTCTGTCTCTTTGTGGTGAGAGCATTGGTCCTCTGACAAAATTTTTAAATAAATACATTTAAAAAATATGGGTAGGGACTGCAAGAAAAAAAAATAACAGAGAGAGCCAAGAAAGTAGCTCAACTAAAATAAGTTGGGACATGACATAGTTCCTGATTTCCACCAAAGACCTAGATGGGCGAGGGAGAGTGGGCTCCGTCATTAGCTGTGGACCATAAAGTTCCCAGGACAAAGCAGCCCCTGTTTAATGCCCATTCTGTCCACTTCTGTGCAATACGTGATGCTCATTCTGGAAATGACATCAGTGAAAGTGTATTTCTGGTTCATCAGACAACCACACTAATTTATTTATTTTTTTTAATTGAAGCAACATCTGGAAAGTCTCAAAGTAAGTCCTGTCTTTTACTTCTATTATTATCACTGCTTTCTTATGGTATCTGGAGGCCCTTTGCTACTCCCTTTTTAACGTTATTGAATCAAGATTTAAGATTTGTATTTCTAACTCTATGGTTTACTAATTTCTCAGCATTCCTTGCCTTCTATTATAGCTTCTGGCTTCCCTATTCCCATCTCCTATGGCTCCATTTTCAGCTATCAATTGAGACTATAATTAAAACTGATTGTTACCTGATGTGGTGCTATGGTAATAAATATTGGGTTGTCTGAAAAGTCACAATGCATTTTTGCATTGAAAAATATGTCATGACTTTTCCAACAAGTCAATACTATTTATCAAGTATTTACAATGTGCCAGGGAATGTACGAGGCTTTACATATGATATAT